GACACTTCTGCGCAGAAGTGTCCGGGTGGGTGGAGCCTCCCACCACCGCCACTACTGGTTCGCCCAATCCGGGGCAAACCAGTAGAACCCACCTCTGGAGGCAACAGTGAGCTACTTCTGAAATCTGATCAAGGAAACTGCAGAGACTTCTTCAAGTAATCGCCAGGAATCAAAGTTGATTCAAAAGCTTTTTTTTCTTTTTTTAAAGAGGGACAAAGATAAAAAACAGCAGAGTCCTACAGTTAATAACTTGGCCTCTGTACATTCAATTGACTTCTAAACAAAATGAAAATCATGAAATATTCAATCAAGAATCCCTTTAACTAATACAATGCTAGAGAAAACCTATTAGTCTACCAGAATCTAAACCTCAATTATTCTATTCTGGCCAAAGATTTTTTTTCTCCAAAAAGAAAAGAATGTCAAGCAGTTGATAGCGTCTCTATATAATTGTCTATATATAGCACTATAAACAGGCTATACCCATGATGGCGAACCTATGGCACGTGTGCCCCAGGTGGCATGCGGAGCCATTTGTCTGGGAATGCAAGGTGTTGCCCTGTCAGCTCCAATGTGCATGCATGCACCGGCCAGCTGACTTTGGCCTTCATTTTTGGCCATTTTTTTGCCTGAAGCCTCCAAAATGCAAAAAAATGGCCCTATGGGCAATCCGGAAGTTCAGGAACGGAATTCCGGTTTGCTCGTAGAGCTGTTTTTCACCCTTTGGAACCTTCAGGGAAGCTTCCTGAAGGCCCCTGAAGGCTCCGGGGGTCGAAAATCAGCCCTATGGGGAACCCGGAAGTTTGGGAATGGTGACTTCCTGTTTGTCCATATTGCTTTTGTCCGATTTTCTACCTCCGGAGCCTTCAGGAGGCTTCCCTGAAGGCTCCGGAGGGCAAAAAACGGCCCTACGGACAAACTGGAAGTCACCATTCCCGATCTTCCTGGGTCCCCATAGGTCCTTTTTTCGCACTCCGGAAGCTTCAGGAGCCTCTGGAGGGCATCCGGGGAGAGGGTGTCTTTGCCCTCCCCAGGCTCCTAGGAAGCCTCTGGATCCTGGGGACACACATGCATAGCATTATGGGTGTGGCACACTGGCGCATGATCCCCCCTTGTACTTCTCCCGCTTTTGGCACGGCAGCCAAAAAAGGTTTACCATCATTGGGCTATACTATCAAATCATGCAGGCATAAAGCCATTGCAGTGTAGAAGCAAAATATTACAATCTTCAGAATTTCTTAATAGCAGAGAATTAAATCTAAAGGACTTGAGTGTACTTTGAAACATGTGCTATGTCAAAGCCAAAATGTTCTGCCATTTTTATCGATAGAATTCAGAACAAAGTCCTTCACTGTGTGATTCATAATTGAACACACACAATGCTGCACTTAGCAAACCTTTTGAAGGGACAAAACATATTAGAGCTTAAAAATGCAAAGAGTAAATTTCCAGGACACTGAAGGATAATCCCATATCTGCTTAAAGCCTCATTTTATATAGGCAAAAGAGTTTTATGTAAGCAATTTCTTTTTCAAAAATAAAAACATCAAAATATTTCTTCCCAAGTGAACTGAACTGTAACCCAATCTGTCAAAAATTATTTTTGAGATGTTTTAAAACAACTAAAAGCAAGAATTCTCTCNTGGGTGCAGGGTTCATATTTATATTTGATAACTTGATCTGCCAGTGTGGTTCTTTCTTTGGTAGTTCCTTGATTAGAGTATTGTTTTCTGCTTGATAGTTTGTCTAGTATTAATCCATGCTTATCTGGGTATTGCTACTGGTCTTTTGCCCTTCATAGTGGCTGTTACAAATTGATATTAGTCCAGTTAAGAAGCATGACAACTAACCTGGAAGGCAAGGTACAGGGAAGATCAGATGACAGGCCATTGGAATAAGTTATGTTGGAATAGTAGCAGTCTTGGTGGCTGAGAGAAGGGAGGGAAGGAGGCCTTGAAAAATTAAAGGGTGAGTAGGCTACCAGCCAAAGTTAGAAAAGCAAGTTAGTAAATGATGCTATGAATTCAGAAAACAAAAAGTGCACATCAGATTTGACTTTCTCTTCCTGACTGGAATTTGTTTCATCTAAAACCTGGAATATATTCTGGGTCTCAGTTCTGCTGCCACCTCAGAATTATTTAGTAGAGCCCCATGGGTTTGTCTTGAGTTTCACACTATAGATTTTCCCATTTGGTACCCCTTGTGTTCTTCAGTGTTTGGGTGTGTGAAGAACTTTCTCAGAAGAGGAAAGCTCAATCAAGTTCTAACATTTAGTCCTTCTGAGAGTTAATTCATTTATAGAGGGGAATATTTGTAGCTCAGGTTTGAAGTAAGGAGTCTTTGATGTTCTCTGAGCTTGGCTGTTTTCTTGCAGACATTTCATTACGAAACTAGCTAACTTCATCAGTGCTGGTGGGGAGTTAGTTTATTGCGCTACTGGCAGAAGTTAAAGAGAAGGATACTGTAGAGAAATTAGTGCATTTATTTTCTTTCCTGATTTATAAACTTCTGAAATTTTCACAGCAGGGAAACCATTTTTCACCCGGAACCCATCTGAACTGAAAGGGAAGTTCATTCACACCAAACTGAGGAAAAGCAGCAGAGGCTTTGGTTTCACTGTGGTCGGCGGAGATGAACCAGATGAATTTCTCCAGATAAAGAGCTTGGTGCTTGATGGGCCTGCAGCACTGGATGGCAAAATGGAAACAGGTAGCCTGTCAGGCATGAGAGGAAACTTCTGGTGTCTCTGCTCTAATGGGAGAAGAGCCAGGGGAAAATAGCATAGTTACCTGCAGTTCCATCATGTTAATTTGCCTCAATTTTTCACTCAAAACAAAAGGGAAATAACACAATTCTTGGGATAAAAACTAGACGTTCCCTTCCACAGTTTTGTTCCACACTGTTTACAGTACATTTTGCCAGTTGTTCGGGGTGTCTTGTTTTAAAAATCATAATTGCCTTGCTCCTTATAAAATTTCATGTCAACCCACGGTTAGTTACCGTTGGTGGAAATTAGATGAAATAAAGAGCAGCAACAGAGCCAGTTTGGGGTAGTGGTTAAGGTAGTAGGTTAGAAACAGGGAAGGCTGGGAATTCTAGTCCCACCATAGGCACACAGCCAACTTGGGCCAGTCATGTTTTCAGCACTAGGAAGGAGGCAACGAGTGGTGGGTTTCAATTTATTTACTACTAGATCACTTGTATGTGCGCTTGGGTGACACTTCTGTGCAGAAGTGTCCGGGTAGGTGGAGCCTCCCGCCACCGCCACTACTGGTTTGCCCAATCCGGGGCAAACCGGTAGAACTCACCTCTGAAGTTAACAGTGAGCTACTTCTGAAATCTGACCAAGGAAACTGCAGAGACTTCTTCAAGTA